AAAAAAAAAAGAAAAAGGTATCTGTGGTCCTAGGGCCACTGACTGCCTAGGCCAAAGCCAGACTCCAACAGTGATGAACCATAGACCAGGGCTCAATCCATCCAGGACCTCTGAGCGGCATGAGATGCAGGGTCTATTGTAGGTAGGTAGGTAGGTAGGTAGAAGATAATGTTCTGCATCCACCTTTTCAGGACACTGCTCTTGGGCAGAGGCAGGATGCACCAAGTGTTGCATCCTCACCTCAGCAACTTTGGCCAGCAGCCTGTCCCCCCACTGCAGCCTGTCAGATGTGCTTTTCTTGGTGCTAGGAGTTGCGTGTGTGAGAGTGGATCTTGGAAGGTTAAGAGGAAAGAAGGGGGAAGATAAATGTTTGATTAAAGCTGGCACTGCTTGGCTCCTAAGTGATGATGACACCTGTGTGTGACTCCATCTGCACATCTGCTGGCATGCATGAGAGCAAGCAAACAAGGGAGCCAGTGGATGTGCCACCGAGCAAGCATTTGAATGTGCAAAGAAAAGAAATGTGCACCTCTGTCTGAAAGTAGCGGGAGAGAGGGAGAGTAGGACACAGGCAGATCTAGGGGGTCAAATGAACGGTGGCAGAGATACCCCCTTCCACAAAGGACTTATAAGGCTGGTCCAGTGCCAGAGGAGTGACTCTCTGTCATGACTGTGAACCATTTTTAAGCTTTTGTGTGCTGAATGCTATTCTTATAGACCAAAGACTAGCATCCATCTGACGTCTCCACACCTCCTGGCTCAAAACTAACAATATTAGTGTGAGGTCCAGGTAGGGGGGCAAAAAGAGGGAAAACCCTGAAACACTTCTTCACCAGGCTTCTATCTGAGGGCTTCAGTGCCATCTAGGAAACAGGGGAGCCCTTCTGAGCTGGTGCTAGCAAGTACGTGGGCTGCTATCTGTCTTGGTACCACCCTCCTGGATTAAAAATCCAGGTTAAAGCATTAAAATCTTGAACCATTAAAAAAATCACTTACTTTTTGGGCAGTTTGACCTTCTTGAGATCCTCCTCAGCAGCTGGGTTAACATGAGCAATATGGCACCCCAGGGCCAGGAGGGTTCTGTGACACAACAGAAGAAGACCAAGGTCAACTGCAGTGTCAGGAACAGAAGGAACCCTAATTCACATCTGAGTTGAAAACAGACAAGAACCATTCATTTAGACCAGGGGTCAGTAGACTTTTTCTGTAAGGAGCCAGAGAGTAAATGCCTTAGGCTTTGTGAGCCATACGTCTCTGTCACAGCTACAACTCTGTGATTACAGAGCAAAGCCAGCCATAGGCAATATGCAAACCAATGAGTCTGACTCTGTTACAAAAACAATCTATTTACAAACATAGGTAGCTGGTCTGATTGTCCTATGTGCCATATTTGCCAACTCCCAATTTAGATGATAGCAAGCATAAGATTACAAAAGAGAAATTTGTTAATTGCCTCTCTTGGAGACATTTTTCTCTTTTATAAATTTGCATGAGAAATATATGCTGCTTCTAATTCCATGGAACAGATAGAATTCTAATACCCAGCCCCAGGTAGCAAATATTTACTGCATGATGCCTGTAAGTGCATAAACTGTGCTTAACACCATGAAGTACGAAGCTGTACCTTCAAGAAGCGCCAGTGTAATTGAAGGTATCCCATGTGAGCCTGTGGGACAAGGGACCTTACCAAGCATCGTTATGCCAACAAAACCACAAAGTTAAAATGTTCTGCAGTGACAACTAGAGAACAGGGAAATGCAAAGACAAGAGAACAGGTAGCAAGTTCCCAAAGAATTCAAAATGGGAGATACCACTTTGGGCTAGAAAAGTTCAGGTCTAAATTAGGCCCATGGGTAGCAACATAGAAGCAAAAGTTATTTTAAAATTGAATTTTAGTGAATCAAATTCAGGTTTCCCAATGGGTTTTAGAAATGCTTTATCTTTTTTCCTTTATTTAATGTGAACTGCAGGAGGTACTTGGTCTTTTGATTCTAAGTTTCTCTTCTGCCTCTTACCTTTTTTTCCCTGTCCCTAGCAAATAGCAAATGGTTTAAGAAATATAGTCAATAATAATGGTGGATGGTTATGCTAAATCCTCTTGTGACAGGATTCATCATCATCTCCTCTAATTTATTAGAATGTGCCATGTTTTCAGGCAACAGACATATCTTTGCAGTTTAGTTATAATGTATTAAATCATCTACTCATTGTTTGTACAACTTCAGCTCAATTAAACACTCACTTCAAGGTTTCAGTTGACATTTGCAGGTTATAATTCTTCTCAGTTTCGGGGAGCTTTGAAAACTCCACAAGGCAAGGGTGCTGTCTTTTATTGTCATCTCGTATCTAGGTGGTGACATAAGAAAGAATGTGATTTAAGTTTTGACAGCTGCCACTGCATGGGAAAACAGAACAGAACATACTTTGAAACATGGCCCAGGCAATCCGTATCAGGCAGGACAAAGACAGCAACTTGCTGATAGGCAAACGGATGATCTCGCCAGTAAACGAGACACACAGTCTCCAAGTTGCCAGTGGTTTGTGCTCTGTGGATTTATTTCTAGACAAGCATCTGCATTTCAAACATACTTTCCCAGAGAAGCAGTGTTACATGTGGCAGCCATGCTCCTGCTCCTCCAAAATTCATATACACATAATGTTACTGAAGAGGAACATTCTTCAGTATAGGACAGGCTACAGAATCTGGACCAGTGTTGTGCAGTAGAACCAAAAGTCAGCCACAAAAGTGAAGCATATTTGTAATTTCGAATTTTCTAGTAGCCACATTAGAAAATCAAAAAGAAAAGTTGAAATTAATCATGTGTTTTATTTAACCTAATAAATACAAAATAATCACTTTAACAAGTAATCAACAGAAGAAATTGTTTATGAGATATTTTACTTTTTCCCCCACACTAATCTTCAAACTCTGGTGACTATTTTACACTTTTAGTACATGTCAATCCAAACTAGTCACAATTCCAAATACTCGGTAGCCACATGTGACTCATGGCTTTGTATTAGACAGTACAGTTTTAGACATTAAGTAATTCATTCATTCAACAAACATTTGTTGAATGCCTGTACTACATGACAGACCCTGAGCTAGATATTAGGAGTTCAATCGTGAAGCCATCCTCATGTGGTGAGAATATTTTATGGTAGCTATATAAATACATAAGTGTGGGAGTGCAGAGACTTTGTCAGTAACTAAGCTAGAATGTGTGTCATCTGAGAGTGTCGGGGTAATAGGAAGCTTCAGAACTCACCTGTCCTTCTGCCTTCAGACATGACCTTACACAAATCATGAAACACAGTCAATTTACATTCTCTCTGAAAAATGATTTCCAGTGAAAGATTCCCTATCCTCCTCTGAGTGTCCATTAATCTTAGTGATACATCTGAAAACCATATTAAACAAGTTCTGATTCAAAACAATGAATCAGCCACTTTTCACTACCCACACAGAGAGGACAATTTTTTTTCTGAAGGAGAGATGTAAGTATTCTGAAGCAGGTGCTGAGAAACAACGATATATCCCAAATAAAATAAACCAGTATTTGGGAGTAAGAAAGGGGACAGACTTCTGGTTCCGTCTGTGAAGATCTGGTCTCCTCAGTGTTCCTGACTAGTGAATGCAATGAAAACTAGGCATGCAGCAGGAAGAACGGTTCCAGATAACAAGGCAATCCCATCCTCCACCCCAGCCTGGCCACTGAGACACATACCTTGCCGAAAGTCCAGCCAAGCTCTATTTTATTCATTCCCCAAAGCTCGTGGATGTTTTCAGCTAGTCTGTCTCGGATCTTTTCGAGGTGAGGTGGCAAAACAACCTAAAGGAAAAGGAGCAAGTGAAAAGCCAGAACTATAAGAATCAATTGTATTGAAACCCATCATACAATCTATAGGAGTCAGGCACCCCACTTGAATGGCATATCACCCAGGAGGAGCTGCAGTATCTGACCTCACTCTGCTTGACCCACATGCTCCCAGCCCTCCTCCCTCTTCCTTTTTTGGCTTCCTCTCTGCTCCTTGCTGCCTCTCTGACCATTGTCTTTTCTGTAGGTATATATGTTGTATGTTCTTCACATGTGAATGCTTGCCTCACCTTATTTCCTCTCTCCATGCTCTCTCGCCCAGTAGATGATCACTCCCAAGTCAGGCCATTTCTAACCATGGTCTCAAGTTTAGACTCATGGTTCCAGCTGCCTACAGGATTCTTCTATTAAAGTGAGCTCAATATATTACTCAAAGCTGAATTTGATATTTTTCCTTCCAAATCTTTTTTCTCCTCCTGTTTTTATTTTCTCTTTTTGTTGCATGGCCCCACTACCTCTTTAAGCCTGGAAGTGATTCCATTATCTTTCCCTTGGCACTACTCCCCCCATCTAATCAGTCATGAAACCTACCATGTTCATTTCCTAAGTGTCCTTCTGAGGAATCCCCTTCTCTCCATTACTCAACCTCATTATTTTCTCTGTAGACCATTCCAAGAGCCTTATAATTGGCCTCCCCAGCTCCCCACTGATCTATCCTCTACACTGCAGCCAGTGGGACAAGTCTACAACAAAAAATCATGTCAAAACTCTCTAGTGTCACCCAAGTGTTCCTTGACACTAAGACTAGATGTATTAACCACATACACAGTGCTGTTCTTCAGTTCTCATCACAGTCTCTACAAAGACATCCTTTTCAAACTCCTTGAAATTCTCCTAAAAGACCACATTGTTTCACAGTTCTGTGTCCTTGCATATGCAACCTTAACCTTTATTAATACTCCCCACTGTACACATCACACACACACAACCCCCACACACCCTTCCTTGGCACCTGGCAAATACCTTCAACGTTTATTCCCCTGCATTTAGTTCAAATGTTGCTACCTTTGAGTCCCCTGATTACCTAAAGGGAGAGTTCCTCTGTATTTTCCTGATGTTTTGCTCCTATCTCTCCACAGAGGTCACAAACTGGGAGCCTAAGTTTTTTTTCCTCTCAGATTATTTTTATTATTATTTTTATGTTTATTGGTTGACAATCCCTAGGAAATGGGAGATTTCATATAAAATTCCAGATTTCTACTTTCTTTTGACAACTTAGAAGATGACTAGCACTGGACCCATACTTTGCCTGGCATCTGTCAGCTGGAGCTGACATTTCAGGAGGACCTGCATGCTTGAGTGTCTGTGGCTTTTCCAGGTGAACAGTCCAAGCTGTTGATGGATCTATTATTCTAGAACCTGAAGGATAGTGGCCCTCTTCTCGCAGCTCCACTAGGCAGTGTCCCAGTGGGGACTCTGTGTGGGGGCTCCAACCCCACATTTCCCTTCCACACCACCCTAGTAGAAGTTCTCCATGAGGACCCCACCCCTGCAGCAAACTTCTGCTTGGACATCCAGGTGTTTCCATACATCCTCTGAAATCTAGGCAGAGGTTCTTAAACCTCAATTCTTGACTTCTGTGCACTCACAGGCTCAACACCATGTGGAAGCTACCAAGGCCTGGGGTTTGCACCATCTGAAGCCATGGCCTGAGCTGTACCTTGGCCCCTTTTAGCCATAGCTGGAGTGAAGTGGCTGGGTCACAGGGCACCAAATTCCTGGGCTGCCCAAAGCAAGGGGGCCCTAGGCCTGGCCCAGAAAATCATTTTTTCCTTCCAGGCCTGCGGGAGGGGCTACTGCAAAGGTCAATGCCATGCCCTGGAGATATTTTCTCTATTGTCTTGGTGATTAACATTCAGCTCCTTGTTATATATGCAAATTTCTGCAGTGGACTTGAATTTCTCCCCCAGAAAATGGGTTTTTCTTTTCTATTGCATCATTAGCCTGCAAATATTTCAAACTTTTATGCTCTGCTTCTTCTTGAATGCTTCACTGCTTAGAAATTTCTTCCCTCAGATACCTTAAATCATCTCTCTCAAATTCAAAGTTCCACAGACCTCTAGGGCTGGGGCAAAATGTCGCCAGTCTCTTTGCATAGCAGGAGCGACCTTTACTACAGTTCCCAACAAGTTCCTCTATCTCCATCTGAGGCCCCCTTAGACTGGACCTTATTGTCTATATCACTATCAGCATTTTGGTCAAAGTCATTCAACAAGTCTCCCCGATCAAAACTTTACCTCATTCTTTTGAACTCTTGTTGAGGCCAGCATCTTCTAGAAAGCCCTGTCTGAGTAACACACATGCTTCTGATTACTTAAGTCAGGAGAGGCAGCCCAGACAGTCACACTCATGCTTCTACTCTCTGTCTGCTTGGGCAACAGCAGCCCTGTATCCATGGAGAAGCTCCTTCAGGCTTTGGCCTTCAAGCTTCTTGTCTATGAAGGAGTCCAGAAAATGCCACAGTGGTATAAGGATTATTTTGAGCTGAAGACTTTGAAAAACAAATGACACAGGATGGGGCTTTTCCTGGACTCCTCTTATCTGCCTAAAAAAAGAACCCCCCCAAAAGAATTCAACAATTTTTTTCCCCAGGGGAAATTGCCACCTACCACCAGAGAAAGGTCAGCATCACACCTAAACAGACTCTGTCACAGAACTATCGTATCTCCTATCTGTTCTCCTTAGGAATCATTTATCTTTCCCCAAGGCATTTATTTTCCCAGAAGTGCCCTTCTCCCCATCTCCTTTCCCTGTTAAGATGGTATATAAGCTCCAAATTCTGACTTCCTCCCTGAGCCACATTTCTTTGTGAACTCCATACCAGGTGATTAAAATGTTTTTTTCTCTCTAATCTGTCCATATGAGTTTAATTCACAGGACCCCAAAAACAGAACCTAGGAGGGTAGAAGAAAAACTTTTCTTCCCTGACATCTAGAATACACAGGACCCAGATGATCTAATTCTTAGAATCACCTCTAGCTCACAACCCCCTCTCAATTTCCTATCAACATTCTTATTCCCCATCAAGGTACTCTGTGAAGCAGGCAGAGAAATACTGAAATGCTACAGAAAGTGATATAGCTAGGCTCTGTGACCCCATCCAAATCTCATCTTGAATTGTAATTCCCACGTGTCAGGGGAAGGGCCTGGTGGGAAGTGATCTGATCATAGGGGCAGCCTTCCCCCTTGCTGTCCTCGTAATAGAGTTCTCATAAGATCTGATGGCCTAAAACTGTGGCACTTCCCGCTTCGCTCTCTCTCTCTCCTGCTGCCTTGTGAAGAGGTGCTTGCTTCTCTTTCACCTTCTGCCATGACTGTAAGTTTCCTGAGGCCTCCTCAGCCATGCAGAACTGTGAGTCAACTAAACCTCTTTTCTTTATAAATTACCCAGTCTCAGGTAGTTCTTTATAGCAGTATGAAAATAGAATAATACATAGTCATTAGCCACAGGAGGTAAGAAGCAAACTCATGAACATATACACATAGATGAATACAATAGGGTCATATGAATATTATGGGGAAAATGCATGCTAGAGAAAGCCTGTAGGCTAAAAGAGCTATATTGTGCAAATTATTAACCCCAAGTACCTTAGAGGCATGGTCTCTTTTCATTTATTTTCTATAACATCTAGAATAGTGATTCAAATAGCCCTGCTGTATATAAAATGCTAAAAGCTCTCGCATGCCCCTTGTAACACCACATGATGTGTCTCTCTCAAAATACAGACCCTGGAAGGGAAAGAAAATATCCATTTATCAGTACTTTCAAAGCCCTCCATGCCTTTCCCTGTTTCTCTCCCTTTTATTTTCCAACTCTTCTCCTACATGCTCCTCCCTCTTCCAAGAGCTCAGCCATATGAGAACATGCATTGCCACCTGTCTATACTTCTACTTTGTGTTTTTACTTCTAGGCCCTTATTTATCCCATTTCTTTTATATCACCCCTGGAGACCCTCCCCCATTTAAGCTTATTAAAGGCTCTAACTGAATTCCACCCTTACCACACAGACTTCTAGAAACATTCTAGCCTAAAGGATTTCTCTAGCATTTACTGGTGCATACTGTTCATTTTGCATTTATTACATTTGGCCTTTTAAAAAAATCATACATTTGCTTCTTACATCTTTAACTTGGTTGAGAATTCCTAGAGAATACATCAATATTTCTGTCTATCCTTCACAGAATATAACACACATAGCAGGTGTTCAACATTCACTGACTGAGAAATCCTTAAAGACCCAATTGACGCACATGGTGAAAATGTGAAGAGTAATAGTTGTTCACATTACACAATAATTATGGAACATGTATATTAAGTAAGGTTCAAAGACAAGAAAGAAAGAAGTATTTAACTCTATGGCTTCATCTGTATCCACTGTCTTTTGCTGGCAATTTGAACCTACCTGACTGGTGTCTATGGGGCATGGGATGAAAGAGGCTTGGGATAGGAACTGGGTGGTACCCAAGAGATCTCTAACGCCATCAGCATCACGTTTATATTCTTTGACAGGTTCCAATCTCATCTTCTCTTTTGGAAGTAAGGCTTCATAGCAAGGGGCATAGCCAGAGGGTGGCAGGAACTTAAACTCTCCATGACGTCCACCCATCAGGAAACGTACTCTGTCATTTGAAGACAGCAGAAATACAGAGGTTAAAAAAAATGCAGCCCAAATAAGTGAAAATTAAAGATCAAACCCTGCCTCCCACCCTCAACATAATTTCGTTGAGAAGTGAATGACTTCAGATTAACCATGGCAAACATCCTCCAGTAGGTACCAAAACAGCAGAGGGGTAAGTGAGCATCAAGGCATGATCCTCAGCTGACCTATCACGGCTAAGTCCCTAAACATTTATATACATAAACCACTAGGTTTTTAGAACCAAGTTTATCTGTACTCTAATAGGTAAATAATTACTATAGATATTACTGCAGTATTGAAAAGCTTAACAGTGATAATGATGAGATTATTCTCTGTAAAGATCATATCGAAATTACAGTATGATAACTTCAACTCTTCTTGAGGGAAATTATCCACACATTGGTTAAAGAAAGCATGATGTAACTATATGGAGAAAGTAGTAAAATCTTATTTTAATATTCAAGAGAAAGACTAAGTAACATCAGAGTATTAATCACAAATGGTTCATGGCTGGCAAGGTTACTTAAAAATGTTACACTGTGGAGGCCACATTTCCCTGAAGCAGCCATATCGGGGTGGCTGTGAGGAGGCAGCCATGGCCGCGTAGGGACAGATGGGCATCAAGCATTTGCTCACTGGGATGCCAATGTCTTTCTTAGTATCATCCCCCTGATAGTACCCAATCCTGACACCCTGGCCCACCTCCTGCAGTGCTCACTGGCACTTCCTAACGAAGTGGGGAAGGACACTAAAGGTCTGACAGTAACAGCAGGCAGGCTCTGATTACCATCGCGCAGCAGTCTTTCAATATCGTAATTCAGCATTCTGGCTGAAAGTCAGCCTCATATACATGGGTTAGGTTAGGGTTAGATTGGACCCTAAAGTTCCCCACGCAAAAAGAAAAAGGTGAAAGTAAGCGATTTCAAAATGTTACTTCATATGATCCCAGGTTTATAATCAGAAATAGAGCTTTCACAAGTCAACTGCAATCACATTAAATTGATGAGGAAATACAACCAGTTTTCCATAATTAAAACATGGCAAGATATGGCACTCTGGAGGTTCAACAGTAATTGAACACTGGAAAAAAGTCAATACATATGCAGTGTTTACGTACAACATTCATTCCCCTCCCCTTCTCCATTTAACAAGTCTTTACTGAGCCCATACAATTAGCACTTGCTTTTGTACTGGGATTCAGCAATGAACAAGGTATACGGCATCCCTGGTGTCACGAAGCAGGTATTCTAGCAGACAAATAGGCATAAGTACTGATTGGGAGACATCTGATGGGGTTTTAAAAAGGGAGCTGTGAATTCACTCAGGTAAGGGGTTGGCTGTTGGCATCAAGGAAGGCCTCTCTGACATGTGAGCTAACTCTGAGGGGTAAGGAAAAACCAGTGAGCTCAAGATCTGGAGGAGGAGCATTTCAGGCAGAGGAACAAGTGCAAAGGCTCTGAGGTGGAGAAGACCTTGGGTGGATCAGATAACAGGAAGGAGGGTGGCGTGGGTGAGAACACCATGAGCCTGAGTGGTAGGGCTGTATCAGGCAGGGTCTGTGAGCCCTGGCAAGGAGGTAGGATTTTATTTCAAGTGGAAAGCTGCTGATGGGTTTTAATGTAAGGAAATATAAGATTCTCCTAGTTGCCCTATGCAGATAGATCTGGGGACCAGTGGGGAGGTTCCTGAAATAGTCACAGGGAGATAATGGTGGGTTGGACCGAGGTGATCCAAGCAGCCATACCCAGTTTTGTTTTGGAATTAGGCTTGTTCGGAATTGCTCATGGACTGCGTGTATGAGTGGAGGGGGATGAGGTATATGGAGAAAAGTTATGATTTGGCAAAACTTTCACAACAGGATACTTTCCAATGGGCCTCACTTCCTTTCACTGGAATGTTTTGGTAGGTCAGCCTTGCAAGATATTCTCAGTGTTGGCTGCCTAATTGTGATGGTGGAAACCTAATTGTGAAACAGGAAAATAAAGCTTCTTCTAAGTAAAGAGATGCTAAGGTTTTCTTCCTTCCCAATAAGAACACTTTATCTGAAAAGCATTTTATAAAATACTGTTTTAAAATTAATTATAGAAATCATACAAAACCTCCCAGTTTCCTATTTTAAGGTACTCAATAATAATGATATAGAGTTAGAATCACAACTGTCCCTTGTGAATGTTCCGACATTAAGTGTTATGTAATAGGGCACGATCTATGTGTATTAACAATGTGAACAATGAAATTAAAACAAAATTGAGTCATTAGCCTGCAGTATTACTAATTTAGTAAACCTCAGGAAATAATGACTAAATCTTAACATTATTTGTTGAGAACTTCCCAATTCAATTGCAACATAACAGATTGTGTTACTGACGTATGGAAACCATGGGATAAAATTGGATCTTTCTGGGCAAAGAATTGGTGTGGGAAATTTTCTGCCTCTCTCTTCTCATTGAGCATCTTTCCTGCGAGGAGCTGAATGCCTAGTAGCTTGTACAGCAAGTAAGCGTATTCCATTACTCACTAGCATATGGATTCCAAGAACAAGTAAATCGTCTCTTATGAGGATTTCTAGAGGAATTTAATTATTCATGAGCTCTCTTGCTAATTGTTGAGTTTCAAAATTTATCTTAGGTTTTAAAATCTGCTGGATAAGATAACAAACCAAGAAAGGTAGAGTTTCAGGTAGTATTTAATGAGAACAATGCTTAGTTTTTATATTCAGTTATTAAAAGCAAACTGATCATTTGGTTATAAATCTGAATCTTACGTCCTCTAATGACCACATAAACTGTAAAATAAATTAACACAGGCAGGAATCAGTGTTTACTGCATACTGAAGCTTTGGTCTTCAAACATCATCGTGCTGTGCTTCAGTGGGTAGAAGAAAAGGTCCTGGATTGCTTCAGAAGTCCTGCAGATGAGAATCCCTGTGCCCTCAGCAGGCAGACTGAACAGACTATGGTCCCAGGCACACCCACCACCTGTGGCTCCTCCCCTCACTGCCTGTGAACAAACTGCCCAGAGTCTGTGAGAAGGGATCCAACAAACCGCCACCAATATTGAAGGTCCCCCTCATAACTTGCCCTACTAGATCCAGATTGATGAGATCAAAGGTAATAACTAGGGAGATAAAATTTAGGTTTGAAGGGAACAACCAAAGAAGGAAACAAAGTATCTGAAACTCGCTTCAATTATCTGAGTATATGAAAGTGGGCTCCCCTCTGTCTCAGAGTTTTGGTTCAGGTCCCAAAGTTAGATGTATGAATCCATAATTCATAGGATGCTAAATATTTTCACATTCTAAAGTGAAGTGCTGAGTCAACTATGTAGGATATACAAAAAAACAAAAAACAAAAAACAAAAAACAAACCTGTGAAACCAATTCTAACAGCCACAGCCTATCACACACCTCTAGACGGATAAAGGAAAGAATTCCTTTGGAGAGAACTTTCAGGGAGAAAGGGAGAAGTGTCCTCCCTTTTTGGAAGTCAAATGATTAGGGCTTCAAGAACCCATGTAGAAGCTTGACAAGTGTCCTCTGGAGTTTACTGAGGGACACATTTTCCTGGTGACAGAGCCGACAGCGTGAGAAAGGGCTGCATGGAAAAGAGTTGCCCTTCCGCTCAGGGTGACGCCAAGGACTGTGCTCCCTAGAAGGCTGTTTAAGGACTCCATAAATGAGCCTACTGTCCGCCATCTTAAAAAGGGACTTCCCAGAAAGGCAAACGTCTGAGTAGAGGTCAGAAACCCAGGGGCTGGGGGACGTAGGAAAGTGGATCTGGAGGGAGGTTTAGGGTTAGCCAGAGGGAGCAGCCAACAGAAGCAGTAAGGCTTGTGTCAAAAGAACTGTGGTCAGAAGTTCCCAGCCTGAGGCTAAGAAAACTACAAACGGGTCCCAGAAAAGAAAGAGGCAGCAACTGTACAACTGCTACGCAAAGACTCAATGCTACCTGACAACAGCACTGACTCCATCAGACACGCTTCTTCTCCAGTCTTCTCTCCCTGCGGCTCAACTCTAGGGGGGTCTGCAATAAGAGCTGGCCAATCAGGGAGGGGCAGACCAATGTGGAGAAGTAGCTGCCTCATACTGCAGGCCCAAGCTGGGGGAGGGCTCAAGCTGTAAACTGGACACAGATTTTGATTTTAGATTCAAATAGACAGAACTTTCAAATGACTGACAAGATTGCTCTTGTTCCTAAAAGTAGCAATAAAAGCTACAGGACCTACCCACGAACTTACCCAGGGCCAGAAGTCCAGAGCACGGAGTTACAGGGGTAGAAGAAACAATAAAGTTAAATCTACCTCGTCCACTTCTCTCAGTAAATGGGTTACCTGGCACTTAATGTTTACCTTTTAAATCCTTTGCCTCATTCACAAACGAGAAATGTCCAATCAGAGTGTGAATCTCCCCTCTCTACATGTTTTCCTCCCTGACTCCTTGAGTGCCATGGGCTCACCCAGCATCCCCGGAATGTTAAATTTAACATAAAAAAGAGAATTTAAGAATGGATTTCATTACAATTAGTTCCTCTTTATCCTCAGATTTTTCTCTACATTAATGGATTTTAAAAATCAAATTCATTCATCAATGGAATCCTTTCCACCACAGCTCTTGTGTCATTTTCTGGGGTTCTTCCTGTAACTCAGATGTTCCATCAGCTCTCAAAGATGTTTTCCTTCTTAAAGTGTTTACAGTAAGCGACTCTGTCCTTAGATTCTTTCACCTCAAAGATGAGCAACAGCTTCAGTAAGAGCTGCCTGGGAGTAGTGAAGTTTTGGGATGTGTAGAGGAAATGTTTATTTACTTGACTCATTTTGAAAACACAGGACAAATTATATTGAAAAATCTCTGCCAGCATTTTCAACTTTGTCTTTGAGATTTGTGCATTTTTGCTTGTTAATTTGCAGGAGAGATGGGACTACCTATTACAAATTCCCAGATTTGAAAGATTGACCCAGTAATTAAAAAAAAAAAAACAGTAA